GGGGGGGGGAGGTACCAGAATAGCCCTGGGAGGATCCAGGAAAGCGAATGGATAGTTTGACAGAAAGCCTGCTCTTGCCTAAGCCTAAGGAAATACAATCAAAGCTTAACAAAGGCCTGTCTTGGTAGCACCCTTGTTCGGCTCGCTCCCTTCAGCAGCGGCGCAGGCTGAAGCGCAGCACTGATCCGGGCTGGATGGGAACAGAGATGGTGCTGGGCTACGGGAGCTTTGGATGCTGCGCTAATGGCACGGCAGCTCTGGGTGCTGGCCCTTCTCCTGGGCTTGGAGGGGACAAGTTCGGCCTGTGGCCTCAGAGGCTGGACTTCTTCCACAGCCAGATGGAGCTGAGCCATCTGGTAACGAATGAGACATCACCTAAACCCTTCCTTTGTTTTTTGCTCCAAAAGGTCTTGCCGCTATATTTCAAATGCTCCTATGTTTGTATCCCTGAACTGCATTCTCTGTAGTACCACAGAAGAATCCTATTTCCTCTGGCAACCAAGAGGTACCGAGTCCTTAATCTAGGACTCTGTAAAGTTAGTCCCTCCCTCTATCACCTGGTTCTTACCTCTCATCAGACCTTTAGCTGATTAAATTCTCCTTCTCACTTTTGGACCATGCCTTAACCTTCTTGTCAAATTTGTCACCTCTAGGATACAGCAAGAATACCAACTTGTCCAGCAGCGCCACCCTCTAGGCACCACACACGCTGTCTTCCAAGGACAGTAACAGTGGATACCATGAAGGGACTAGGAAGCGTTGTGGTTTGCGCTAAGAGAGCTGGGACCTTGCCTCTCTTGTGCTGAGTTATTCTCTTTACTGGTCTCTTTTCCCTCTCTGCTGCCTGTGTGTGCTCTCGGGCTCCTTGGCTCTTCCTCAACCCTCCCAAATCGCTGCCTGCCCATTCCAGCTCCAGATCGGAAGCTTCCCTCCTTCCCTCTGCTCCCTCCCCTTAGTCCCAGGGGCCAGACAGCGGTCCATGGCCCCTTGGCCCACCTCTGAGCAGCCTGGTTCCCACTGTGATGGGGGCCACCAGTCAGAGCAGCCACCCATGTCCCCTGTCCCTGCTGCAACCACTGGTGCTCGTTTGCACCCCAGGGGCCATGCAGGCCCAGAGTGCTGAGTTCCCTGAGCTGTGCGGTTAAACATGGGAAACCCTGGCTGCAAGGCCAAAAATTCCCAGACCCTGGCCCTCAATGTTTCTGCAGGTATACAATAAATAGCCTTTACTTGCAAATACTTAGAGAAATGTGGAGGTTTACATTAAACCATTTGGGAAAATAATTTTAAAAGAACCTCCACAAGAGAAAACTAATCTTGAGACTGACTGAACATTTGTTAATCTTTTCCACAACCACTGTGCCCTCTAGTGCCCAGGGGTATCCAGCAATTTATGATCTTCTTAGAGTCGTAGGACAAGCTTTCTGCCCAAGGCAAGGAACCCCTCCCACAAACAGACATACGGGGTGGAACCTCTGGTAAGGTCATATAAGGCTGGAGGCTATCAAGCAGGGATGTCTTGCTTGAGGAAAGGGGACATACTTACCATCTGGGTGGAGTTAATGCCACCTGACTGAGCAGGGTGAATCCAACCACTAGGCAGTGCCTGATCACCACTGTGACTGCTGGTAAGGCTGCCCTCAGAAGATGGCAACCTTATATCCTTATATCTTCTTATATCCATACTCGGACATATACTATATTACAATCTTCGGGAAGGCCTTTACCCCTGTCAGAAGAGGGGCAAGACACCAATCTTGGGACACTAAGGCCAGAAACAGGGTTCCGCATCATCCTGGGTTTTGCTTGTGCTACATAGGGCTAGGGAGCACTGCGGATGCTCACGCCTCCCTTAGCTACCCAAGCACTTCCTCTTTTATAAAGAAGGAAATCTCCCTCCCCGAAGACAATGGGCAATACAGCCTCTATCCACAGTGCCTCAAGGGGCCCCTTGTGGGGTGCGTGCTCAAAATTTGACCCTGAGTCCCTAATCTTCTTTTGCAACAAGGCCTAGAACCAATATAAAGTGGGCAATGAAGAGATTTGGCCAATTAATGACATCATTACTTTTAATACTATCTTG